CGCGCTCTTGGGGGGGACCTGTGGCGTCCACCCGCTGGAGCAGTGCCCCGGGGGGAGGTTTCGAGAGGCCAGAAATAGCGTGGGCTAAAGACGAGGCTTCGCAGCGATGTTAGCGGCATCCTGTCCGTGTGCTGTTGCGGGACGCGTTTCTGCTGGCTGGGCACCCGAAGGGAGGGCTCCTGGTGTTTTTGCCCCTGCGCCTGTTGGGCACGAAGGAAAAGCGGCTGGAAAGGTCAGCCCCGGGCGCTCGGCTTGCGTCAGAGGTGTTTCTGCGTGACGCGTCCGCCGGAACGACTGAGGCTCCCTTTGCCTGATGAGCGGGGCAAGGCGGCAAAAACGCACGCGTGTAGATAGCAGGAGTTTTTCCTGTCTCCTGTCCTCCTTCCTCTGCGGGCTGCAGGGGGCGACCTGTGGCGTCCACCCGCTGGAGCAGTGCCCCGGGGGGAGGTTTCGAGAGGCCAGAAATAGCGTGGGCTAAAGACGAGGCTTCGCAGCGATGTTAGCGGCATCCTGTCCGTGTGCTGTTGCGGGACGCGTTTCTGCTGGCTGGGCACCCGAAGGGAGGGCTCCTGGTGTTTTTGCCCCTGCGCCTATTGGGCACGAAGGAAAAGCGGCTGGAAAGGTCAGCCCCGGGCGCTCGGCTTGCGTCAGAGGTGTTTCTGCGTGACGCGTCCGCCGGAACGACTGAGGCTCCCTTTGCCTGATGAGCGGGGCAAGGCGGCAAAAACGCACGCGTGTAGATAGCAGGAGTTTTTCCTGTCTCCTGTCCTCCTTCCTCTGCGGGCTGCAGTCGGGAGGTGAGCGCAGTGATTCAGCTAGGAACCAGTAGCTGGGATTTAAAGAGCTGGAGCTGCACTGCCAAAACCCCGGGGGGGCGGGGGGGGCCTGAGCGCCTTCTCTTGGCCTTCTGTTTCCTCTGGCGAAACGAGGACGCGTGCAGGACGAGCGAGCGGTTTGAGGCGAGGTTATCTCCTCTTCCCCCGCGTCCGTCTCCGGGCCGGGAGGTCGCCGCTGGCGAGGCGCGCGGGGAGGCCGGGGCAGCGCGGCTTGCGCGTGCTTGTCCTGCCCGCTGAGGGGGGAGCTAACCCGAAGGCGCGAGCCCCG